ATCGCCGTGCCATTCGTTCGCAGCACCATATTAATCGGGAAACGGCCCTGTCGTGAAATTCCATTTGCAAATGCCGCGAGCTAACGCTGCCGCTTGATGTTGGCGTCGGATCTGATTGATCCTCTGTGATGGCGTTCACTCGACTTACACGAGCACGCCTCATATGTATTATTTGAAATTCTTCCTTTGTACTTATACACTCGAGCCGGAATGTGCATTCCGCTCGTCTCAAATCCTATTACGACTTCTGCTCCCAACTTCCATTTGATCGTTCATATGTTTACTTTCATTTTCGTGTTCATTTTAATTTAGTGCACAGTAATTTGTACAAGGCTCATAACGTAAGCTGACTTCCAACAAGGGAGTATCGTGCCACGACATAAATAAATTATGCAACGCGCCACTTAACGACACCGCACAATGTCTGCCTCAACATTTCTACCCAGTCTAAGTTTCTCACTTCTAACTATGCTGATAAATAATCGTCTAGATTGCACCACTTATCTCGTACTACAAGATTTATTGCCAGATGTAAATAAATAAACGATAGAAATACTGAAACCACAATGTAAACAACCGGCTAAACCGGCCGTAGGCTACAAATATCGACAACAAAACGACTACAGTCACTGCAAAGGCGCGAATTGTTATTTTGATTATGGGAAAGCTTATTCGACGGGCGTTTTGTGTCTTTCGTCAACGTTGTACCTGTGTTCATGAAAAATGTAATCGAATGATTTATCTGGTTGGTCACGTTTCTTCGCCATATGGGCGTCTCATGAATAAATAATGTTCGGCCGCGGTCCTCGTTTCAATTAGCGGTTATGTCGCTACTGAGCGGTGGGAGATCCTCCCGTGAACCACCCGCTCGTTGATGGCCAATGGGCACAGTTAATATTATCTGACGATGCATGTGGTCAATTAAGTGGGCTGCTGAATCGTTATTTTATGAGGATGACACCGATGCATTAACCGTTGAGGTGGAACAACGTGGATCTGTTAACTTTAATCGTCCTTATATGGGGCTGTTAATGGAGAAGTATAATCTTCTTCATTACTTTCTTGTCAGAGTTCTTCTCAGACATGGCTCCATTTGGAACTAGTGGGAGTTTATGATAATCAGTGGCAAATAACAAAACAATAAATTAAATAAAACAAATATTTTGAAATATAAATTAATCAATATAAATAAAACGTTTCCATATGATAAAAAGAAGTATTGTGAATGTGTCCAATAAGTGTTGTTTGAAGGTAGCTATGCTCTTAAATAAAAAAACAAACTAGTGAACAAGTGAAAACGTCATAAAATCATCAAACATAAACGCGTTTTTATCCGTTAAAACTAGTTTTATTCAAATATATTAATATATTAAACTAACATTAACTAAACTCATTCGCATTTAAATATTGCGGTTGAAGCGCAATTGAGTAATGAAAAATTTCATTCACATAGAACAAAAAAATAAAACACACCGATAAAATCGAGATGTTTCCTCATAATAACAGTATTGATATTGTGTGCCAGCAATATTTATATGATTGAACCAATTACGTTTTGACGTGACAGTTTTCAGTCGCATATTTTTAATTAAACGAATCAAAAAATGTGACTTTAAAAATACAGAAACGTTAATGGTTAAATGAAAAATAAAAACCATATAACTAATTTGAAATCTCTTCGTTAAATTTATAGTCTGCGCTGACTATTTAAGTTGTTTAACAGTTTAAATTATTCAACGTCGGTAAAACAAAGCTCATTATCAAGCGTCCCGTATTTTGGTCAGAAAGCCACACGAAAGGCCATTATAATTGGGACGAACTGTAATGAGCGAAAGTAATTATGTGGTAACATCCGGCGTTACAGCCCCGTGCGACATAACCCTACAGGATTAGAGGGATCTTACTTGCCTACGCTACGGATTAAATTGATATGTGCGACTCCGATCCAGTCGTTTATCTATGTAAAGGGTCGGAAGCGATCCCTTTTATTAGAATCGGAGTCATAATCGTATGCCTTATTGTTGTACTTTATGGGGTTAAAGGAGTATTCAACTTTTGTTATATCAAGTCGTCTACGGAAAATGCTATTAAATAACATTATTTTATATTGTTATTTTACTTAAAGGAAAATAATATTTATGAATCATCACTATTACCAGCGTATTAATGTCCCCTAAGCTGTGGCTCAGGCTTTCGCTGTGGATGTATTCGGATAATGAGCCATGACTACTACGCGAGCCCATTGCGGATTGCTGGCTATTAACGGCTGCAGGGCTGGGACCAATGGTTTAACGTGACTTCTGAATCACGGGGGGCTCAATACAGTAATAAATTTTTTGTCACCCATCCTATGGCCGACAATTATGAAAGTTGCTTAACAAGCGTATCGCAGACCAAGCGCGCTAACCACTGCGCTGTCGAGCTCCTCCAGATTAAGGATTTTATACATCGCAATAAAAGCCAGCCCGGCCCCATCACCATTTGTTTAGTTTAAAACCGCAAATAATGACCTCTAGCTAGCCTGCACGATCAACTTAGACCAGACCGGAATTTTGTATCGGTTAAGTGATGGCCGTGTCGTTTAACTTTGTAGCGGACTAAGGTCAAAGTTATTGCATGTATTTGTACCTTGTACCATAAGCAGTATAATATATTATTCTGCATACTTTTAGTTCTTTATTATAAAGAAGAAGTATTAAAAAAAAACTAACTACTAAAATTTAAAAGATAATAAATATCAAAGCACTAAAATATTTCACTAGACAAGTGTTCAGACTGTTTCTACTTTTAGAGGAAGAAATATTGACAGTTGACATCTATCAGATTTGTATTGTAAAAGCAAACCTATGGAAATAAATTGTATGAAATTATAAGGAATTAGTCTGTCTTAAATACATCTATTGCTGAGTGACAGCAGCATAGCGACATAATTTCCATGAAAACGTTTTCACAATCAAATTGTTCTTCAGCCAATATTTGAAAGTTGTTAAGTTCTGTGAGTTTGAGAAAATCATCCTCACAGCCCCAGTCTAACACTTAACTATTTCTATAATTATTTTTCTCCTTAAGATCCTTATGCCAAATCGATAACTAGAAATTGCTTCCAAGGCTCCACTTCACTCTGAATCTTTTTCCTTTTCGCCAATGTCCACTGATGATACACGGAAGATTATCATCTCGTCTGTAAGATGTGACGATGTGAGCAGATACATGATTCTCAACATTTTAGATAATATCCTCCTCTTTAAAACAACTAAAGGTCTTTCGGCCAATATCAATCCATCCTTTTTTAACTAAAATCTTAGAAGCCGCGGCTGATGAACAGTTATCGTACTTTATTCACTCCAAATCCCTTCTCATTCCTTTCAATCCGGCTTTCATGCCGGACATAGTACAACTACAGCTCTTCTGAAAGTCACCGAGGACATTGAAATGAAAATGTGTTTATTTAAGTAAGCTTGTTTCAAGCACTTTTGAACGTATTTTAGCACGTCTTTTAGCTGACAAGGGTGGGTGTGGTATGGGTGTCCCACAGGGAGAGATTCTTTCTCCTCTGCTATTCTCTATATTTATAAAATACCTCTCTTTCTCGCTTAGTTGCTCTTATAATTTCTATGCGAAATATCTACAGATATATGTGCTAACCACGACGGAAGAAAACAACTCAGGGATTTCTAAGCTAAATAAAGATCATTCTAATGTCAGATAATGGTCGTTTCATTTTGGAATTTCCGTTCACCCAAGGAAATGCCAAGCTGTTATCGTTGGTAGCCCCTAACAGATTTCTAAGTTGGATGCCGGCCTGCTCCCACCTGTAGTGTTTGCAAACTCTATAATACCCTTTAGTTCTAGTGTCAAGAATCTCTGCCTTCATATTGATTCACAGCTTAAATGGGCAACACAGGTGGCGGAGGTTAGTCGTGCTGTTACTTACCCATTGCGTTCCGTTAATAGTTTCAGATTTTTTTGCATATTAAAACTAAGATCATTGTGGCGATCTCCTTTATTCCACCACACATTGATTATGCGGATGTCATTACGCTAATTTAAACGTGATCTTCTGATTAAGTTGGACTGCCTTATCAATAATGTCATCCGTTAATAAATATATTTCAGTGCAATAAGATTTCATTAAACACTTATCATGGTAGGCGGTTCCTTGTTAAAGGCCAAATACGATAATTTAGCCTTGGTGGGCGGTATGTTCAAGCTGTTTGTACTTTTTAAAGGAAGATCTATCAAAAATTGTATTTTAATATAAAAAAAAATATTTTCTATAAAAAAAAATTCTATAAAAAAATTATTTTACATAGGTTTGCTAAAAAATTTCCTTCCTTTACTTTGAACACTACAAATGTTTATAAGTTCAAACCTAGCGACATCTTTTTCAATTTCGAGAACCGAAAAAGATGTCGCTAGGTCACTTTATTATTATTAGAACAGATCTAGGCACTTATTTTATGTGTAGTCCCAACATTTTTATATTTTTATAATATGATTTGCATACAAAAATAAATATACCACACCAAATTGGATGTGAAGTTCTCAAGTAATAACGGGGAAGTTCATTGAGCAAGGGCGCTCGTGGAGTTATCCGTTTATAAGTTATACTCATTTTATTTTCTTTTACCCGTCCGGAGTGTGCTCGTCGCTGAACATCACCGTCGCTTCCCCCCCGCTTCAGCTCTCTTTTCGAACCCTACCGTAAAATAGACGTGAAATGTGATAAATGGAAAACTCTTTTTATTGTCGGGCCTCGGGCATGTTACGTTATGGGTCGGCTCTTCGTGCCCCTCTCGCGCCCTCGCTTTCGCAGCCCGTCTTATCAAGTTTTCTTATATGCGAGTTACCGCTCAATTTACGAAACCCTATATAAAGTTTTTACGAAAGTGATACAATAATTCATTGCATAAATTAAAGGTTAATTGAAGACGTTGATAGCCCTTTTTACCTGTTCTCCATTATCATACGCACTCATTATAGTTTAATTTCGTCAATAGGGTATTACGCTGCTTCAAGACGCTGGCACGTCGGATGACAGTGGACGGGCGTCAGAACGACTTACAGGGAGTTCAGTCGCACCTCGCGATCCAGATTCCTCCCGCGATCGCCTTAGTGACGTAAGTAGAACGCTCATTTATCTGTCTCTCACTATAGTTACTTTATTTTTACACTCTAAACAAATTTCATTTCGACACAATCAAAACGTAATATTGAAAAATAATTTAATAGGTAATTTACCTAAAATGTTAGTTTTATCTAATAAGAACAGAAGACGATTATAACTTACACTTCAACAATCATGCATGGATGAAAAAAGGTCGATGTTGTTTAATTGTTATGACTGTATCACTTAGTAAAATATGTTAAGCGCATAATATTGTTCGTATATTTCGTTGCCACTTTTCCCGTCTCTCCTGTTCACCGGTCGCGATCATAGAGAAAGTATAATTTATAAATCAGAGCGATGTTTTCGGGCGCGTAACAGTCAACTACCCTCTGGCGCGTTGAGTCAAGGGCGAGACGGGATAGTCTTCACCCCCCCTAGTCACTCCACTCATGTGTTCGCTTTCTCTCTCCTGCCTACAGGCCAGTAGCCGCTGTAGTTCCGGAAAAGGCTATATCGTGAGTATACTCTTTGTTGTCCATGTTTAACGTACAAACGGACTTCGTTCTATAACTATAACCAAGCAAGCATAAGCTTTTGCTCTAAATGTTTATCCGAACAGCACTGCATGGCTCGTTTATTAGTTTATTTTATATTTTGTCCATTCCAAACAGGAACGTTATGTAACACGTAATGGCTATAATTTTCGATTACCGTGTGCAAATTTACGCTGATCACGCAACACACATATACCCTGTTCGATATTCGGCGCGTATCGCAGCTAAATCACCAGATTTGTCGAGGCGGTGCCGCTCCGTACTACATAACATTACCTGAGCTTGCCCTGAATACTTCATGTTCTGTATTTATTTGAAATTGTAATATCTCAGCCTGATCCCTTGTTGTTTCCCCCGGCGCGAACTTACCTCGTAAATATCTTGTAACGTATTCGTCGATTTATGATACGATGATAGTCTTTTTCTCCCTTATGAATTGGACATTGTTTATTTTATATTGTCAAAGAAATAATAAATGTGACTTCATATTTGTATCATTAAGATAAAGTTCAAAGCTTTAATAAATATTTAATGTGTGCATTGAGTCATCATTATACATAATATATATTCTACTAATTAATTTTTCGATAATTATAGTTAGCTCATATTTTTCAACAGAACACGTTTTAAATAATAAAAATTAAATATTTATTATTTTTTTTATATTTCCCTGCTGTATCAAAAATTTTAAATCTAGAGTCTTAAAATTGTTTTATAATTTTAAGAATGGCGATGTTTTATCCTTGTTATATTTGCGACGAATTATTATTCTAATTATTTTCACTTATTTATTTTATCATTATACTATATTATATTAGAAAAAACCTTTTCCTTCGTTAAAATGAATACAATATATATTATGTTATGGCTTTTATATTGCTTCTACACTGTGATATAAGCTCTTCATTAATGTAAATAAAATATATAATAATACGTAATTTAGTATAGAAAACAACGTTTGCTTATGCCCTCAGGTATAAGTTTAGTTAATTAGTGTTGTTGGGGTTTTATTAATGCTTAAGTTGGAATAATATTCACTATAAGTCCATTAGTTTTTTTTTATGGATCCATAATCCATAACTATGATAATTAAATGCATGGTTTTAAAAGTATCAGTTAGAGATAACGCATGAGGATTTATTTAATTCACTTATGAAGTAAATTATAAAATTTAACTTTCTTTTTTTGCAGTGTGATAGTGAAGGCGACGACGATAAGGTAAGTGTATATACAAGAAAACCATCAAATGCCTATACACAGATAATGGTAGGAATGAAAAGTGAATTGCGTCTTTGAAAAGATGCAAGATTGACATTTTAACTATACACAAACACTGTCTCTCTTAACATTGTTCTCGTTCGTACGTTTCTCACGATACTATTCCCGTAAATTAATTAAAATCAGTTCCCTGGCACGGCAATTTGAGAGTTGGAAAAGTTGATACAGAACGTTGGAAATAAATGTCCGTGTAATGTAAGTAGTGAAGTTGCTCGTGGCCGACTTATTGCCGGACTCTGCTCTCTAGTAGAGATTAATCTCTTGTGGGAAGACAATCTGTCTCGCACACCTGTTTACAAATTGTTTATTTGGCTCGTTTCTAATTGCTCATTACAGTAATATGCTCTGTTATTGCAAGGCGCATCAATTACATCGTTGTTAATTATAATTAAGAGAACAAATGGCAAATGGATACATAATTACATATTTTAATGGATATCATAAATCGCACGATACTAATTTAGGAATATGAATTATTTATTCTCGTTTTTTCACAACCAAATGAGTTCGTACCATGAATCATGTTACAATTACGTGTTCTATTTTGGTATGACTGAGAGAAATAAGGTGCCAACTGAAACGTACGAATGGGCGTTGCATTTGGTGCTCGCAGTTCGCACTGTACACGCTCTAGGGCTAACTAACTAGTCAACAGGTTGTGAAATGGTAGTCAAAAGCTGTCGGAATTTCAGCTTAAAGCGCTCTCGGCGCGTGGTGGCAAAGGGCACTGATTACACTCTGCCTCGCTGTTCCTTAATTATTAGATTGGCACAGTCTAACATTGCCCGTAATTAAATACATTGCACCATCTCTGGAACGCCGTTTATCAACGCTCCACGCTTCTCATCTTATTTGTCGACTAGATTTTAACAAGTCTATTTTCAGTATTTTAATTACTCAATTAAGAACAACAAAATATTTTCACTGCCATTCTTTATATAATTACATATTCTTTGACGCGCTAACTATAATTTCTAAATGTATCGCTATCGTAAGTAAAAAATTATTTTAATTGAACATTAAACACATCCATATAAAGTCCTAACAAAATACTCTTGACCTGGATGAGTCTCAACTCTTTCGAAATAATATTAATGAAAGTGGAGTCTGATATAAAAGCAAACTTGAGTACAATCAGCAGCAGCAGTCGTGCAAATCCAAAAGCTTTAAAGACTGATACCATTGTTCGGCAGTAGCACCCGCAACCCGAGCTCAGCCACGTTCCCCTTAATCTAATTATCTGGCCGCTTCGCTGCCGACTCGGTCCGAAACAACCCACCCTCTTCTTAATTCTCCCCAACGAGAAAACGTTTAAGTATGAGAGTATTTTATTAAGCAATCTATCCTCGGCGTTGATAAAAAGCATAGAGTCTAAATAGATCTTTTTAAAGAAAACTCTTAGAACTTAAAGAAATGTAATTTGATCTCTGGGTAAACTTTCAATACAACAAACACTACTTGCAGAAATGCCAAAGATATAGTTCAGCGGTAAAATAAAAGAATTGTTGAGATATACCTAGTGTACACAAAGAATGAGACAATATGGATACATAATTGCTGAAATAATAATAAATTAACAATTTTTAACATATACATTATAATTAATTTATTTTAATATATGTCCTTAACTATATGATTATATATGTAACTAATAAAACATTATTTAGTATAATAAAAGACAAAAACCTATTTATTATATAATTGTAATGAAATATAATGTTATTTCGATTTATAAAGCATAATTTTTACATGCGTCCTTGCTAGTACAATGATAAAAAAACGCAATATTTATTATAAAAACAGTATTTTAATTCATTTATTATATACGCTTCTTGCTTCGGAAGGCATGTTAAGCCGGCTTCATTTGCAGTCGTTAATATCGTCCAAAAAGCGTGGAGGGTCAAGGCCCATCCTCCTTGACCATCCATAACGAAGGTAAAATGGGCTGATGATAATGAATAATACGCAGCAGTTAATTGTATATATTTACAGTAATAAACTTACTGGAAACATTTAGAAACGTCTATCACTAAACATAACCATGTTATAAATTGAGTGACATAATAATGCCGTAAAATGGATATCTAAAGACGAAATCAGCCTCAGCATCGCCGTTGTACCGTAGTCGATTAATTAAATTAATCTTGAAGTGCCTGGGGAGGCGGGAGGCAAATTGCTAGACACTAGTGTGATATAAAATCTTACTGGTACTATACACAATTGTCTCGTATTGAACATACATACTAATTACATATGGATATCTGTATTCAACAAAAATATACTTATTCCCGTTTTCACTAAACTTAGGAGTCGACCAAATCTGTAAAAATGCATTTCACCATTGACTAGGAACCACCTAACGAAATTAAGCGATGTCTAAAGTTATAATAATTGTTATGCGGCGCTTTGCGCTAGGCATTTGCGTATATGACAGGACATAAATATGTCAAGAGATAAAAGAAAAATATTTATTTGAAATTAAACTTATCTGCTTCGGCGATTCGTAATATTAGACGTTTCCTAGTTAATCTATATCTTGTTCTAGGTTAGCGAAAATGAGTGTTAGAGTTTTTGAATATTTCAAATTAACGATTTTGCTAATACGCCCCCTAATTGTCTAATTTTAAATCTATTGCAATCGCTTTCAGTTTGAAAGGTGTTGCACAACCATTGCTGCATAATACAAATACTTTTTTTTCAACTGTCTTCATAAACAAGCAATGGTTGTGCAACACCTTTCAAACTGAAAGCGATTGCAATAGATTTAAAATTAGACAATTAGGGGGCTGATCACATAATAAATAGTAACATATTTCGATCTATAAATATATATTTGTAGACAAAACTATTATTGATACTTGAAATCGTAGAGATGTAATAAAATCGGAGGCGGTAAATGATCGATATGGTCAGAGAGCCCTCACTAACTCGATCCTATTCCACTTGGGCTATTTGCACTCCGGGTTCAATTATGCTTCCACTTTGATATGCAAATCCAGTCGCTTTCGGCTAATTATGTAGACGCTTCCGTTGCACTGCTCTTGACTATGTGAGCTGTACCATGTTTCATATTGGAATGACATGCAACAATAAAAGATAAGTGTTTGTGAAGTGGGTCGTAGTGTTTTGCAAAACTCTGGTATTTATCTATTACAATATTTTCTAGATTATTAAAATATTAATACGAATTCAAAGAATTAAATCTTTGTATTTACGTGACATTTAATTTGATTTAATGTTTAAGCATACATACTACTTTACTAGTTTCCTTTTGTAATGGCAGTAAGCAAAACGTTACGTTATCTATTTCTTTACCTCTGAAATACTTTCAAACCGTAAATTTTACTTAAAAGTATTTTATTTGTATAAGGTAGATACTCGTTGCGGTTTAACTTATTTGAATGAAAGTTTTCGTACGGATAGTATCATACTCTGGATTTCTTTTTTGTCTCTCCAACCGATTCCGGTTTTTCATAAGTTAGTGTATTGTAATATTAGTAGGTTAATTTTTAGTAATTATCGAGTTATATTGAAATATGTATTTTTTGTAATAATCGTAACTCTACTTACTGGTCGCGTCGGTGGGTAACCGGGAATCGCGATCGTAACTCAACGCTTGCAGCATTGTAACTAGCATGCCCACGTTGTTTATTGGACACAAAGCGATAACGGCGCACGCGCCATTATAACACCTCACTCTAATCTTGATTGTGTTAACTTTATCGCGTAACAAATGTAAATAAAGCACCCTTTTATAAGCCAGCTTTCAAAGTTATTGACAAATAAACGTTAACGCGCATTTTATACGTGTGAATGAATTTCGGCACATCGATTTATGGTTGCTTGTTTATGGAAATTAAAGAATACTTATATTTTATTTTAATATTGCTATTGACTTTCGTCCGTTTTATTTTGGGTATTATACATATTGTTTATTAATTATTTATCATGTTAATTAATTATGTATGTGAATCGATTGATAAATAAATAGTTTATTATTTCTTATTTCCATATTGTTATTGAATGTGACTTCATAGTCTAATGAAATCACGTGCAATATGACATCTCTGCATGAAATAAAACAGGAAGAAAAAAAGTAGCCCTTGCTTCTTGCCGGTTCTTCTCAGTACAAGATCTCCTTAACCTAGATTTTCGAACTTATCGCTTTTTGGTTTTCACAAGTGTTTGTAACAACCTAGACTGAATTAACAACTTTGAATGAAAAAAAAGGAAACGTTGAAATTTGTACCTCTACCAATTTAATAATTATTTTTCCCTGTAAATTATTTTTTCTTCAACTGATGACAGCACACATAATAGAGGTTTTCAATATGAAAGTGTAATTTTTGCTCGATATCTGTCACGGATTATGGGGCGTGCGTGTAAACGCTCATCATCATTCATCTGGTAGGCATATCACTTCTGGTCGATTAGAGCGGGCGGCGGGCGCACAATCTGTGCTCCGGCTTCGCTCAGGGCGGGGGGTCGCCTCCTAGCACATTAATAAGCTCATGAATACTGATCGAGTGCCTAGTCCCTATCAAAGCTTCCCTGTGTATGTAAAATGTACTCGTAAAAAGCCTGATCTAGTACCAAATTTTAAATTCTATTATTCACTTTTTATTGTATGATGATCCATTGATAAACTCAATGTAAATTGCTTCGGTAATATTTTTCAAACTTGCAACGGTGGGCGTCTCTTGGCAAGGTTTACCTTACGCAAACCTGCCTCGGTTAATTGAAAGAGCTTCTTTCGTTTGGCGTAATATTTTATGGCACGGAGTGTGCCGGCCGAACTCGGTAGTACTGTTGCTCTCCCTCCGGCGCAAACTAATTTTCATATAACAACCTCTCTCTCGGCAGGCGCTTACGACTCTTTTATAGAATTCATTTCAAAAGCAACAAGAAAATAATTTAATCTACTTCACAGAATCTGAATA